TGTCATCCTAGCACTCAGGAGGTTGAAACAGGAGAATGGCTATGAGTTCGAGACCAGCCTGGGGGCTATAAAAGTGAGCACAGGGACGGGGAGATGGCTCAGTAGAATAAGTGCTTGCCTGGCAAGTGCAAGAACCTGAGGTTGATTCCCAGTCCCACCAAAAAAAAAAAAAAAAGTGAACACAAGGCCAGCCTGAACTGCATATCAAGACCCTGTCTCAAAAAATAAAAAAATAAAAAATTTTTTTACCTACAATGGAACAGAAAATTCCAGTTGCTTGACAATCTAGGACAGGAGAGAGAGACCATGCCTTCCCTCTGGACTTGCACATCCCTCAGTCACTTATATGTTCCAAGGGCCTAGACCGAGCCTGGTGTACAGCCTATGGTGGGAACTTAAGGAAGTGCAGGTCATTTTGCATTTCTGGGGCCTCCTTAGGGACTCAAACTTGAACCACAATCAGAAGGGTGCCAGGCAAGGAGCTGGCCACATCTCAGCTTCTCTGCTCTTGGGTCCAGGGCCACTGGGCCTTCGCATTGTTTTTGTAATTGGGTAGAGATTCCCACTATCCCTTGTTGGGCTATGGGGGGTGGCAGTTTGTATGGTTCTGTAATTTCTTAACAAGGGACGGGATTGGTCCAGATGGGCCCAGCTTGGGCTGCTTGAGTCATGTCCGAGGGACTTTGTCTTGTCTCCTTTCTCGAATAAACAGTGAGTCTGTTATTGACTCATTAATGATTCTTTAAAGAAACTGTCAGCAAATTGGTATTTTACAGACTGGCTGGCCCCAGAGCACCTTTAAAAGATCAAGGATCTTGGGGCTGGAGAGACAGGCCTCCAATCCCTGGTTCTGAAAAGAAAAAAAAAAGATCAAAGATCTTGAAATAGATGGATGAAAAGAAATTGGAGAGGAATCATTTTCAGATGTCACAAAATGTGATTCCCACTGCAGTTACCCGGGTTCCCCAAAGGAAGGAAGTGCTCCAGGGAGGAGGTATCACAGCGCAAGGGTGAACGCATCATCCCTTTGGCCTTGTGTGTCTTGGACGAGGTTGCCAGCAGGCTGACTGCAGACTTGGCCAGGTGCCTACCCCCAGTTGTCAGTAAAGAGTGATCTGGGGGCCGGGGAGATGGCTCAGTAGAATAAGTGCTTCCCTGGCGAGTGCAAGGCCCTGGGTTCAATCCCCGGTTCTACCAAAAAAAAAAAAAAAAAAGAGTGATCTGGAGACAGTGGAAGGCCCTGCTGTCACCAGACATCCTGGGCTGCCTCTGTTCCAGCCAGGCAGTGCACAGGATCCTTGGCCCTGTCATGAGTGGACAGCAGCAGTGGCCGTGACAGCCTGTGCCCAGCTGTCAGAGCAAGTGGTCCTCTTATCCCCACTAGGACATCACAGGCCCACACGGCTCACACAGCCTGGCTGGATGCAAACCCTCTGCTCACTGTACATAAAGGACCCATCACAGTAGAGCGTGGCATGTGCTCTGGGCTGTGATGATGGGAGACCTTCATAGATTTCAGCAACTGGGAGTGGCACACAGTACCCCAGTACATTCATTCCTAACTTGCTGAGGGCCAGCTTCTGCCTAAAAATACACCTGCAGGGCTCTGTATGCCTGGGTTCAAGTAGGTAGACGCTTGTGCCCTGCCCAGGTGCCAAATTTGGGCCTGTGATCTGAGGAGGGTAGGCTCTTATTCAGTGGTCTTGCTTTGTTCTTTTATGTTATTTACTCCCCACATCACTATTCCTGAATCGTTCTGATTATGTGTGGCTCTTACGTCTCAGGAAAGCAGCACTGTGCTTTTCTCTTGTTTTATATTCTCTTAGTTTCATGGTGCTGGGGTTGGAACCCAGAGCCTCCAGCGTGCTTGGCCTGTACTGTCCACTGAGCTGTACCCTCTGCCCTAACGTGTCTCCTTTAAATGACTGTGGCTCACTGTGGACAGTGGCAATCTGTGTCACAGCAGGCAGCGTCCAGAGCTCTTGGTTCGGGGCCCAGGGCCCCCCTTTGAGATGACCCAAAGCAATGGATGAACAATCCAGGGCAAGAAGTACTACAGGGAAGCTGGCTGCCAGTCAGGATCCGTGGGCTGGGAGCAGAAGCCCCCAAGTCAGAAGCTCAGGTCACAGGTCACCAGGAGAGCTCAGGGACAGTGGCACCAGGCAAAAGCAGGACAGATGCAGAACCTGCTCAGCCTCAGACAGAGGGCAAGTGGCGTCTGATGCTGCAAAGCAGCAGCGTGGGATGCTGGCCCGTCTGTGTGCTTGTGGCCCCCCGCAGCCAGCCCAGCAGAAAACATCCCCCTGCAGATCTCCAGCGCTTTGCTGAGTCATTGCCTCCCTGTTCTCAGCAGACTTGTGCTGTGCCATCACTTGCTGTTGTAGATTTGGGGTCTTTATGATGTTAAGCTGTATTCCGATTCAGCAAGCTGACCAAGCACCCCAAGACTTTTTGGCAAGATTCTATGCACCCCATTTTGTTAGAGCTCATGGCACTCTGGGCTGTATTCCACTGCTCAGTATGTGAAAGTTCTTCACTCAGTCTTAATGCTTAGAATTTCTCTTGAGATCCCAGCAGTGTTATTTTGGTATAAAACTGTGATCTATTAGTACAAATAGGGGAATAAAGTTAATAAATACTTAGCAAGCCAATATCAGTTCATTGCAGAACTACACGCTGCCAGTCCTGCCGCCCCAGCCCTCCCCAGCCCTGCAGTCGGGCCTCCTTCGCCTGCCACTGCCATGTTTGGTCTGCCTGCTGTGTGACTGAGCTGTGCCTGAGTTCAGACTTACAAATGGGATGTTGGCTTCTTTTGCACAACCTGATCTCTGAGGTTCCTTGTGTTGCTGCTCATGGCCGTGGCGGTTTAAGATTCTGCCTGCTGTTTACCTGTGCTCCTGGTCTCAGTCTTGTCTTTGGGCCTCTCCACAGCGTTGGTCATCTACAATTTCCTGAGCCTGTGCTATGAGTACCTTGGGGGAGAGAGCGCCATCATGTCAGAGATCAGAGGGAAGCCCATCGAGTGAGTACGGTGTCTCCCCGGAGCCCCACAGGACCTTATTTTCTTTGGTCTGTCCTGGGGTCAGTTGGACACGCAGACCTTCTGTGGCGACAACCTTGATCAGCTGTATCTCTCCTGCACTTCCTGACGAAGGCCATTTATGTGACTCCTGGGGGTATCTCTGGCATGCGCCTTCTCTGTCTTCCTATCGTCCTTGTCCTTTCCTGTAGTGTTTCTCCCTTGATGGTTTTAAACTTTGTATAATCTGAGTTGGTTTGTTACCCTGTGGCCCAGGCAGCCCTGTTGCCTTGTATCCTGCTGCTTGGCTTCCTCTCGCAGGCCACCCCAGCTCTGCTGTTTGTCTAGTGTGAGTGAGGATGCCCCCTGCCCCCAGCCTGTCTCTTCCAAGTGCTGCTGCTCAGCTCACCAGCCCTTCCCCTGCGTTTGGCTCTCCCAGGTCCAGCTGCGTGTACGGGACATGCTGCCTCTGGGGAAAGACCTACTCCATCGGATTTCTGCGGTTCTGTAAGCAGGTGAGTGTCATCATCAGCACCTGGACAGGGAGCAGACTGGTGACTTCAGTGCACTCCTGGGCCAGGAAAGAAGCATGCTGGGAGCATCTGTGGGATCCCTTCAGGCTCGTGGCCCAGCTGCTCGGGTGGCAGCATGTGCTCGGGGCCAGTGCACAGCATCCTGGGAATGCGTGCTATAGCTTGGGGTGGGAGGAGGTGGTCCCAGAGTCTTGGTCCTTTTGACCAAGTATCTGTGTGATTGAACCAGAGGAGGAGATTCTAGAATCTCGGTTTAAGAAGTTACTGGCTGTGACCAGAGACAGGCCAGCTTCGGCACTAAAGATCCAGGACAGACAGGCCTGTGTGGCGTCTGCTTTCATCCCACATTAGTGGAACGTCCCACTGCTTTTAGTTCCCTCGGCTACCCTCCTGGGGTGCACAGTGGCTGACTAGAGGCAGCATGCTGCTGTCCCACACAGTGTCTGGGCTAGAGTGTCTGACCATCCACCCTGAACTTTAGCTTCTCCTTTGACTGTGTGACCTCAAATAATGCAGTTAACTTCTCTGAGTGTAGTGTTTTGGGTTGTTGTGTTTTGTTTTGTTTTGTTTTGGGGTGGATATTTTTGGTGCTGGGAAGCAAACTCAGAACTTCACACTCAGCAGGCAGGCGCTGTGCAACTGAGCTATATCCCGGCCCTCACTGAGCTATATCCCTGACCCCAGTGTAGTTTGTTGTTTTGTCAAGTGGGTAAAATGATGCTTATCTGAAGGGGTGCTTGTAAGGCACAGATAAGGGCAAGTAGGGGAGGCTTTCAATGAGCGGCGGCTCCTGCTAGGGGGAGTCTGAGGGTATCGCGGCATCTAGAGACCTGGTGTTGGTGTCCGCAGGCTTGCTGTCAGCCCCTCTAGCATCACGTAGTCAGCAGGGAAATGAAGCCTGTGGCTGGAGGCTGGCCCATGGCCGCACACCTTCAGGGCCTCCTGACAAGTGGCCTGCACGGCTGTGTCTCCTCATGTTCTTCTGGGGGCTGTCTCTGAGACTCTTACCTTGGGGTTGCAGGGAAGGAGTTAAAGTTGTCCCAGGGCAGGGCAGGGCAGGGCAGGGCATCAAGAGTGACTCTTCGAGAGGTTTTGCTGCCAGCCCAGGTTCGAGGTGCAGCAGTGACTCATGGCCTGCTTGGAGGATTAGATTGTTCACAAAGTCTTCATCTCATGATCACAGCAAGTGCCACTGAGTTGTGAATGATTCCCCAGCCCCGTGGGCTTGAATGCTGGCAGGAGAGGAGAGAGGAAAGACGGTGGAAGGAAAGAATGCGCGAGGGCCCTGGCCCCTTTCCTGTTCCAAGCCCCAGAGGGGCTCAGCACTCAGGGTGCTCCCAGAGCACTTGTTCAGAGGAGAGTCCCAGGCTGGTGTCCCACCCAGCTTGATGGAGAAGGTCTGGGACAGCCGGAAGGGCATGCACTTGAGGCTCCCCAGGTGGCACGACATCCAGCCTGTCCTGGAAACCATAGGCGGACACGGGGTGAGGTTGGCAACGGCTCTGGTGCCTGGTGGCTTGGATTCCACTGTCGCATGTGCCACTTGGGCTGCTCAGTGCCTCGGTTTCTTCATCTGTGACAGGAGATAGTGGTGGCATCGCAGTAAGCTGGCCGGCTCCTCCCCTGCACTCCGTGTGACCTGCTGCTGCTACTTTCCTGTTTCCCACAGGGAGTCTGTCCCACTTCTTCCTGCCAGGGTTTGGGGCCCAGGGACTTCTGTGGGGTTTTCTGGCAGCCCTCCCTGTCACATGTGCCTCTTGTGTGGCGGTCCCAAAGCACAAGCTGCTCTTTGCTGCAGCCCAGTGTCTGGAAGCCTCCCTGCCTAGCCCCACTCCAAATCATGGGGGCCTTGTACATAGGTGGACTAGTTTGTGAGGTATGTGGTTCTGGGGCCCATGGACACCCCCAGAGTTTGTAGGACCTCTGCAGGATCGTGGGAGCCTGGCCGAGGACATCCATTGGCCGAGCAGGTTCGCAGAGCCTGCGTTGAGAGCATACCTCCAGGAGGCCACTGCTCGTTGGCACTTCTGTGCCCATAGCAGTGACCCCAGGTGAGAGGCGGGTTATGTCCCTTTTGCTAGGCCTTCATTCAGTCTGAGCTCTGGGGACTCCAGAGTCAATGCCTGAGTCGTGTCCTGTGTTCTGTGTCTTGTCCCTCCTTGCCATTCCTGTGGGCTGTCTCCAGTGCAGGTCGGGAGGCCTGGGCTGGACCTAGAGCAAGGGTCAGGGAACCATAGGGTGGGCCAGGAGGGCAGGAGGGGCCCTCAGCAGTCTTCAGCAGGGCCTGGCTCACCCCGAGTGCTGAGGCCCCCAGCACCTGCACACCTGTCTTCCCAGCCACCCCTGCTGCTGTTCCTCCCCTGGGCTCAGCCTCTGGGCCTTTGCCTGAGCTTATCCTCTGTGTGGCAAGGGAGCGTGGCCCCTCTTGTCTCCCCATGCTTTTGTGGTGCTCCCTTCCCTCCAAGCCTCCTCTGATGGTGTCTCCTGCCCCTGTGCCCTGCCCTCCTGGCTCTTCCCCTGTGTCCCCCCAGCTGTTCCACCCTAATACAGCTGCACTGCATTGTCACTGCCTCCCACAGTTCTCCTCCCTTGCCAAGCTAACAGAGGTCTCCTCGGGGATGCTCGGGAGCCTTCCCTTGTCCCCAACATTTCATTCTCAGCCCAGCCCCTAGAGGAGGTCTTTTTCATGCTCAAGCCTGACCTCCCCCTCTCTCCCTCCCAGGCCACGTTGCAGTTTTGCGTGGTAAAGCCACTCATGGCCGTCAGCACCGTGGTCCTCCAGGCCTTCGGCAAGTACCGGGACGGGGACTTCGAGTAAGCAGCGGGTCTTCCCTTGGGCACCTGGGAGGAATATTGGCTCTGCAGCAGTACCCCGGCTCAGGGGCCCATGGTCCTGCGCTTGCTGGCTGTCACGGTGCTTACGTCTCCCTGCACCTCCAGCCTGATCCTGGCAGCGGTCACCCTTGCACTTGACCCCCTGTGCCAGAGGGGCAGTGGCCACTCCCAAGGCCCCATATACAGAGTCTGCACCATCAATTGTCCATGTAGTAGGGTTGCTGAAAGTAACTGCATTCTAGGCCTGTGCTTGTAAGCTGTCCTACCCACCACTACCTGTGCACCACCTGCCCAGGCGCCTGAGCAGGGGGCAGCTGGGGGAGGTAACTTGGCCACATGAAAGGGTAGCAGAGAAAGCTTGGTGTCACTTACTTTGATACTTGTCATTTGACCATCAGGCTGTGGCCTCAAGCATGGTCCCTGAATGGGACATGGTGTGAAGGCAGTAGAAGTCGAGGGCTACCAGTGCCCTCTATTGTCCACCTCATCCTCCAGCGCTCATTGCAGAGCTGGGAGGACCAGCTGAGGTCAGGGCGGAAGAGGCTGGGCCCTGCCCCTCAGCAGGCTCGGTCCTAGCAGCGTGTGCCTGTTCTACAGTGTCACCAGTGGCTACCTGTATGTGACCATCATCTACAACATCTCTGTCAGTCTGGCCCTCTACGCCCTCTTCCTCTTCTACTTCGCTACCCGGGAGCTGCTCAGCCCTTACAGCCCTGTCCTCAAGTTCTTCATGGTCAAGTCTGTCATCTTCCTCTCCTTCTGGCAAGGTCAGCCTCCTCCCAGCCTCCCAATGCCTGCATCCCCATCCTCTGAGCCCCGTCCCTCCCTTCTGTTCATGTCGCTAGGGCTGTGGAGCCCAGACCACTGGACTGTGCTGTAGTGCCAATGTGGATCTCAGAGGGCCCTCAGCCCACTGTGCACTTTCTAGGGATGAAATCTGGAGCTTTCCACAGCCCCTTAGGAAACTTTGGGGGTCCCATTTCCTGGGTGGGGGCGACCCAGTGGCTCTGTGTCATTATTGATGTTCTGGTTTTGGTGGCTGACAGCGAGTTGGAACAGTGGAGTTCCTGGAGGCCTTGGCTCTGTGTCACCATTCTGTTTTAGAGGAACAACTGTGACCTCTTCCAATCTTCGTAGGGCATGTGGGCATCTGGTGGAGCTTAGGGGAAGAGGGTGGCCTGGGAGGGGGCCCAGTCTGGGCTAGACAGTGCCTCTCTTCCCAGGCATGCTGCTGGCCATCCTGGAGAAGTGTGGAGCCATCCCCAAGATCCACTCAGCCCGTGTCTCTGTGGGCGAGGGCACTGTGGCCGCTGGCTACCAGGACTTCATCATCTGCGTGGAGATGTTTTTCGCAGCCCTGGCCCTGCGGCATGCCTTCACCTACAAAGTCTACGCGGACAAGAGGCTGGACGCCCAAGGTGTGAGGAGGTCCAGGGACAGGGAAGGAGCGGGAAGTTCCAGGCCATTTTCCTGGGAAAGGTTCCACAGTGGGAGGAGTCCTGGCCTTGTGCCCGTACTAGGGAGCCAGAAGCCCCCTGGCTCACGCAGTGAGCCTGAGTGTGGAAATCCTGAGATGATAGAGAAAATTGGAATAGACACTTTAACACATAGACAAGTTTCATCACACTGTACAGTTATTTGTTTTGTCCTATAATTCTTTTTTTGTTAAGGAAGGAACGGCTTATTTAGCTCACAGTTACGGGAGATTTCAGTCCGTGCTCAGCTGGCTGCAAGGCAGAGCAGCACATGGCAGAGGGCAGCCTTTCATGGCAGTGGCAAAGAGCAAGAGAGCGAAAGCAAATGGGAGGCGTAACAGCAACAGTTGCTCTGTCCTATAATTCTGCCCTTCTGAAGTTCTCTAAAAAACAAAACAAACACCTTGTAAAAAACAGAGAAGATAGTAATAGCTTTTAACAACATGTTTTTGCTATTGTTTAATTTTTATTTTGAGACAGGGTCTCATTATGCAGTTCAGGTTGGCCTTGAGCTCATTTTGTAGCCCAGGCCTGTCTCAAAATCATAATAAGGCCTGCCAGATAGCTCAGCAGACTAAAGCGCCTGCTTAGGCAGAGCGCAGCTGCTGGGATTCGATCCCCAGCTTGCCCTGCCGGCCCCGCCCCCAGGGCACACTGAGACAGCAGTTGAGACTGGGCATGGTGGCGCACACCTGTATTCCCAGCACTTGGGAGGCTGAAAATAGGAGGATCACTACAAGTTCCATCTACTTAATGAGACCCTGTAGACCCTGTACCAAAAATACATTTAAAAAAAAAAAATTGCAACAATCCTCAGCTTCCTGAGTGCGGGGATTGTAAATGTGCTCCAACACTCCTGGCTTTGAACAGCTTTTTGATGCCTGCCAGTCATCCTGTTTGGAGTCGGGTTAGCAGGTCTGGATGTACAGGAGTGTGTCCTAGAGAACATCTAACAGTGCTGGGGGGCACTGTCGGAGACCTTGCTGCCCTTGGCCTGGAGGTACAGTATGCTTAAGAGCTCAGGGCGCCTGGGTACCTGGAGCAGCAGTGTGCCAGGCGGGCACAGAAGGCTCCATCTAGGAGGAAGAGCAGAGGCTGGGGAGACAGGGAAGCTGTCCGTTTTGTCCACCCAGGGGTCAGCTCTCTTCCTAAGATGAAAAATGCACTTCCCCGGTCCCCTGCAGGCTGTGTGCGTAGCAAGGAGGGGCGCAGGGCTCCTCGGCCTACTCTCTCGCTGTTCCTGCCCTGTTGCACAGAGGCCCTTAAAATGCCTCTGCTGGACTTTGTCCCCAGCACACCTGCCAGTAGTAGCTGCATCAGACTCTATTTGCACACCTGCTCTGTGCCCACCCCCTGCCTGGTGGTGCTGGTGGCTGCTGCCCCATCTGTCTCCCACCAGGCGCCAGTGTGAAGGATTTGACATACACCTGATGCTAAGGGCCATGTCTCTTGGACCTGGTATGGCAGAGCCTTCACCCATGGAAAAATTGCCCTTGCGCCTGGAGCCCAGGGCTACCTCGGGGGCAAGGAGGTCCGCACGTGGCCCCATGAATACCCCAGCTGGCAGTGCAGCCAGGCCAGGCAAGCTGCTGCCACTCCTGCCCCTGCCCACCTCCCTGCTGGTCCCAGGCTAGAGTCCCTTAAACACACACACACACACACACACATACACACCAGCTCTGCTGTGTCATGCGCGCGCGCGCGCACACACACACACACTCTGTCATCCTTGTTCTCATCCGGGAGATGTCTCAAGGTTTGTGAAGCATGTGGCTATGTCCAGGCAGATGGGTCCCAGCCAAGCCTGGGACACTTCATGGTGGGGTATCCTAGCTCAGGTGTGAGGGTACAACTCCTGCTGCTGGTCCTTTGTTGAACACCTGGGAGGAGTCATCCCAAGGCAGGTGTCTTCTTGAGCCTGCAGCCCCAAGAGCCCTAGGGACTGGGGGGGTGTCCCTGGACCTAGGGATAGGCTTGCCTGTTCACTTAGCTGTCTCTTGTCTTCTTTATCTTTCCGGCTTCTTTCCCTGCCCCCTTGCCCTGCACTTGCCCTGGGTTTGGCCTTGGGCAGTGCCGACTTACGGCCCTTACGGTAGGTCCTGCTCTGTCTGCACGTCTGTCCTGCACGTCTGTTCTGGTCACTTGTCACTGGCATGCCTCTCTGTAGCCCCTCTGTGTACCCATCCCATCCTCAGGGGCACTGGGCTGGGAGAAAGGCCCCTGTTCTGGATTATGTCCTGCTCAGTTCTGGGACCTGGGGCAGTTAAAGAAGAGCTGGGGCATTTAACAGAACACAGGGTGGAGAGACTCAGGTCTGGGTCAGAAGTCTTGCATCTAGGGCTGAGCTTGGTGGCCTGGGGGAGCTGTCACTAGGAGGAAGCTATCAGGGCAGGGAGCTGCTGCCCTCAGTGGGGAGCTAGTGGGCCAGCCCAGTACTGATGGGCCGCTATGAACTGGCCCCTGCCTGTGGTGACACACCATTCCCTGTGTTGGGACCTGGGTCTGGCTCTGGTGCCAAGCGCACTCGTGTGGGGCGTGGGGCATGTGGCCGGCAGCTTGCTGTTCTCCACCCAGGCCCCCTGCTGCCTGCCTGCCCAGCTGCCAGTGCTGAACTCCCAGCCAGCAGAGGCACCTGCATCCTGTCCCTGCTTTCCTCTGTCCCAGGAGGGGAGGACTGGATGGCCTGCCTGGGCGTGGGTCTACCCCAGTACATATGGCTCTCCCTTAGCCATGCATCTCCTGCCCACAGGCCGCTGTGCCCCCATGAAGAGCATCTCCAGCAGCCTCAAGGAAACCATGAACCCGCACGACATCGTGCAGGATGCCATCCACAACTTCTCGCCCGCCTATCAGCAGTACACGCAGCAGTCCACCCTGGAGCCCGGGCCCACCTGGCGGGGTGGTGCCCATGGCCTGTCACGCTCCCACAGCCTCAGTAGCACCCGTGACACCGAGAAGACTCTGCTGCTTAGCTCTGATGACGAGTTCTAGTTGTGGGTGCCTCGGCCTAGGGCAACATGCCCTCCTCAGCCTCTCAGCCAGGCCAGGAGGCAGCAGGCACAGTGTTGCCAGTGCCCTTTATTTATTGGACCAGAGAAACGTATCTTCCAGAGGAACAGCCCAACCCAGTACCCTGGGGACAGCCCAGGCTCACCCATGAGCCTTCAGGAATATTTATACACGGCCAGCCCTGCACTGGGCAGAGGACTCTGGGAGCAGCTCCCACACCCCTGCTGCCTGGCCTGTGGTAGATATGGTTCCTGGGGACCAGCCCTGCCAGGACCAGCCATGCGCAGGCCCAACATGGGGACCAGCCTCGTCTGCAGTGCTCCAGGCCCTGTCCACCCCATACTGTGCAATACCCTGACCTGGGCTTTCCCTGCTCACTCCCTCGTCCCATGCTATAGCCTAGAGCCGGGCGCTCACCTCCGGCCAGCAGGAGGAGGGAGTGTGAGCACCCAGTGTGCCCTCCCTCCCTCGCTGGCCCAGGCCCACCCAGCATGCTGCAAGGATCAGAGCCAGACACCGGGAGCCACGGGCCCCACCTAGGAAGGGGCTCCCGTGCCTCTGGCCCCTCTGGTGAAGAAGGGCCCCTTGACCTGTAGCTGTCCTCATCCTCTGTGGCCACCCTCTGCCTACCTCCTACCCCTTCCTCCTGGCCTGCTGAGGATAGCTGGGCTGTGCTACTTGGGTCCCACTCGATGGAGTTGGAAGCCGAGCTCTTGCTTCCTGGCTGGGGCCTCTGGGGCCTCTGTTCCCTTCAGGGGTTAGGTCTGGCCTCCATGTTTCAGACGGTGTTCAGGAAGGACAGGAAGGATGGCCCTGCAGCAGGGGCCCTGAGGTGGGAGGACTGGTCCTAGACTCCTGTCCCGAACCCCTGCCCACACAGGGCTTGCTGTTCTGCCTTGTCTGGCCCCCTGCCCATCTCTTCTGTGCCTTAGTCACACATGAAAGTCCCTTCCAGCCCCCCATCTGTCCAGATGTCCCCAGGTCCTTGGTAAGCTGCTGGCACTCAGGATCCTGCAGTGTTGGGCCAGGTGCCCATGGACAGGCTGCAGCGGTGGCCAGGGGTGCCAGTTCCCTCTCCTTGCCTGCCTCATGCCCATGTCCCCAGGGCTGGAGGCCTAGATAGGCTAGGCTTCTGCCAGCCATGTCCTAGGAAGAGTGTTGGGAGTGTACGTTCCTGGGGAGTGCTTCGGTTTGGGCTGCAGAAGTTGGTGGAAGAAGAAGGGTTCTTGCCTTGTGGCGCACACTGGAAGCTCGCTCTTCTGGTCATTCCTGGAATGAACAGGCTCTCCCAGGATCTGTGAGGCACTGTGATGGGGCCCTAGCCTTCCTGGCCTCATTCTCCCCTCAGGCCCAGGGGCCATGTGTGGGGTGCTGGTGGCCAACTCCCTGCCCTGTCTGGGTGGGCCAAGCCAGATGGTCTCAGGCCACCCTAGAAGGCAGTTGGCAGGTGCAGCTCTGCCTCCCTCCCACGTTGGCTTTTACAAATCTATTTCTCTGACGTATCTTCCTCCTCCTTCCAGGCCAAAGTGTGTTGCTGATTCCTGCCCCTCTTGGTCTTTGCCCATCCTGGCTTGTGCCTATGAGCATGGTGGGTGGGGCTGGGGAGCTCAGTGACAAGGAATAAGTGATCCCTGGGGACACGGGGATGGAAACCCAGGCCCAGCTGCTCCAGCCCCTCCTTCCTAGTATGTATAACCTACATTGGGTTGTTTTTTTGTTTTGTTTTGTTTTTTAATTTTTCCAGATAGAGTAGTTCTTTGTACATAAAAAAATACTTGAAAAATTAATTGTATGATGTATGAGAAGACAGAGTCCCTTAGTTTTATATCTCGTCGTATGACTGCCATGAGTTCCACCAGAAAGCCACTCTATTTTGGTCTCTGACATTTTAAATGCGTGACAAGTGAGCAAATAAAGTGAGGAAGATATATATATATATGAGATAATATAGATTGTATTGAAATCTCTTCTGCCTGTGGTGAGGTTTGTTCTTGCCCCTGTGGGTTTGAGTGTAGTGGGGTGGGCAGGGGTGTCCCCCTCCTATGTGTAACAGGTATCTGATAGGGTTTGCACTGCCGGGAACTGAAGTCAGCATCTGGGTTCCTAGCTAGGTGCTCACCGGGCTCACCTCCCCACCCCAGAGGGCTGAGGTGGTCTGGGCCCCACACCACTGAGGCCCTCTCCACAGGCGTCTCGCAGGGGGAAAAGGGACTCCCGGGGATTCTGGAATCTGGGCTCCTGAGCCATCCTCCACCTGGCACCCAAGGAATCGGGAGTCCTGGGCAGGGCGCTAGGCCTTCGGCACCTTGCCCCCACCTCGCATGCCTTTCAGGGGCCTGGCTTGACACTGACAAGCGTGCTCAGGAATGCTGTGTGGGCAGGGGAGAGTCCCAGCCAGCAAAGGGTCAGAGATAAACAGCTGACCTGTCCCTTGCTTCCTGCTGCCCGAGCTGTGCCACAGGCCTGTGCTCAGCATTTCAGGCTGGACATCTTGGCAGAGCCCCAACCCAAGAGGAAGGCGGGTGTACCTGGCCCAGCCATGTGGTTTGGCCCTTTCCTGTGCCCAAATCCTGCACCTTCCCCCAAGCCCCCCATCTCTCCCCACCTGCCACATACGGTTCTCACCCCAGCCATGTATAACAGGAACACTTGCTTCTGCTGTTCCAGCCTCTGCCCTTGGAGCCCCAGTGCTTTTCACAGCTGGGACTTCATAGCACCTTTGTTTCACTGCTGGGTTAAACTGAGGCTTTAAGAAGCCAAATAAAACTCCAAGATCAGACACCACTAGGAAAAGACATACAGCTGTACGTAAACCCTGATTCCCTGAATCTATCCCATTCTTTCCCAGGGTGCCCCGGGAGGCCTGGTGGGTGGGTAGATGTAAATGGGAGCCTAGGACAAAACTCAGAACTGAGCTCCAAGCCCATAGGCTGGGACGGAGGAGGTCCCTTCTCTCCTTGCCTTCTGGAACATGGAGAAAGGTTTCCAGCTTGGCTGTAGGCAGACCTTGGTAGGAAAGTGCTGGGAAGGTTTCTCTGAAACTCAGGATTCTTCTCCGGTGGGACTGAGTGCTCCTCACAGGTGTCCCAGGGAATTGAACCCTCGTAGAGACCAGGTTTCAGTACTGACCATCCCTTTCCTATCCACTCACCCTTTACCTGTGTGTAAGAGCTAGTGATAGGGGTGGTGACCTGCCCCAGTGCCCCCCAGCCGCTCACCCAGAACACAAAACACAGCCCAGGACACACATCTCTGCGGAAAACAGAATGTGACTTTATTCAGAAAGTCTACAAAATACAGAAGGCGGATAAGTCGCTCACTGTAAGTTGGAAAATAAATAAATTCTGGAGGCCGGGCAGTTTCCTAAAAAAAGTTGTTGCCACCTGGCATTCCCTAAATATAAGATAAAATGTGATTTATTTGCAGATATAAAATATAAAGCCCAGCTCAGGGCCACATGCCTCTTTTCCCAGGGAGCAGGATTTGGGCTCTGGCTGGGGAGAATAACTTAGGTTTTTTGCATTAATTAATTGGGGGGGGTGTACACAGGACTAGGGTGGGGTCAGACTGGGCTTCCCCACAGCAGTGGCAGTGCCACCCTCACCCCACAGGGGACACAAGGGCATGGTGGGACCCTTACTTCGCAGGGCTCTCTACACTTTATGCTGCGGGACTGCAGGATCTGTCTCCTCACTTCTCCACCTCCCAGTGGTCACCTCCACTGTCCCCTTCCTCTGGCTCACCAGCCCCTTTCCACTCTGCCATGTGTCACCTTCTCTCTCCCTCTGCTTCTCTTCCCCACCCATCAGACAGCTGTGCTACACTGGCTCTGAGGCCTCTCACACCTTCATCAGTCCCTGTCTCGTCCCCCTCCTCCCCCCCCAAAAAAAACTTTGGTTGGAACCCTGGAGTAGCAGTGAAAAAGTCTGTTTTGGTTTCAGCTGGGTCATTAAGGGATAGGTGGCTTTGAATATTTTCCCATCTGCTTGGGGGGGGGCGGTCCCCATCTAGCTGGGCCTCACTAGCTGGGACCCCTGGGGCTTTGGAAAGCCGGGCACCATCAGGCCCAAAGCAAGGTCTCCTCAGTGCACCTGCCCAGCAGGACAGCCCCGTCACCCACGGTGCCAACGCTCCACTGAGTTCGGGATGGGGGTGGGGGGGTGGGAGGGCATGTTGGCCTCTTCCAACAGTTTCCCCAACTCTCCAGGGCATGGCTTCCTCTCCCAGACCTGGCTCCAACCTCTAGTCCCTCCGCGTCTAAGAAGGCTTTCAAGCCACAGAAGCCCTGGCCCCAGATGCTTGCCAACCTAGCAAAGGTGCCCCTCCCCAGGGCCCAGTTTGAGGGACTGCAAGAGAAAGTCGGAGCCCAGGAAGGGAATGTGTTCTCCACAAAGGACGGCAGGGAAAGTAGACCTGGGAACAGAGATGGGCTGAGGCACTTTAGGAAGGGAGGGGCCGGGGAGGCGTGGCTACGATGGGGATGTGGGCGGGGCGCAGCCTGCACTAAGTGCTGCTGGCCCGGCCCGGGCTTGAGCTGGGGGCGGGGCCGGGGGCGGGACCAGGCCCGGGGCCTGGCGCGGACTTGACAATGGTGATCACGCTGGCGGGCGCCACAAGGGCGGCGGGCCCTCGGGTCGCGGCTACCGACCGCGCGAAGCCCTGCAGCGCCTCGCACTTGCCACGCAGCGCGTCGAGCTCCAGGCGCATGGCTGCGTTTTCGCGCGCCAGCTTGTCCACCTCGCGCTCCAGCTCTGACTTCTGCTTCTGCAGCTCCTCCTTCTGGCATACGCGCTTCACGCGGCAGCTGGCGGCGTAGCCGCGGTTCTTAAGCGTGCGGCGCCGCTGCTTGAGCCGGGTCACCTCCTCGGCCGAGAGCCCGCGCAGGTTCCGGTTCAGCTCGCGCACCGACAGCCCCATTAGCGCTTCGTCCGACAGGTGCGGCGTGTTCTCGCTCAGCTCGCGCTTGACCTATGGGTGTGGGGAAACTGAGGCCTGGGATGTACTCCTGCCGCTTCTGGCCGTGGCCTTCGAGGCGGCGGCTTGACCTGATCTAAGACCTTGAAGGAGAACAGCAATCCGAAAGGAGACACCAGGGCCGGGGAGATAGCTCAGTAGAATGAGCGTTTGCCTGGCAAGTGCAAGGGCCTGCGTTCAATTCCCCATTCCACAGAAAAAAGAAAAGAGAAAAGAGAAACCAAACCAGGCAAAGCTGGATGGGAACACAGAAGGAGGCTGTGCCAGCACTCGGGTGAAGACTAACCAAGCGTCAAGTCCTAGGCTCAGCCAGAGAAACTCAGCCTGGAAAGCACCTTAGAAAAGAGAAGCAGGCCTAAAGCGGGAAGTGACCTGTCCTGGTGCCACAGAGAACTCCTGTCGCCTGCAGAGCCACCCCTGGAGATTCTGGGAAGGAAAGGGGAAGTTGGGATGCGAGGCCACGAGTGGGTGGGGAGGGGGCCACTGCTGACTCACCTTCAGGGCTTTGCTGGCCAAGGGATCCACAGACATGCCTGCAGCAGGTACACTCTGGGCTGGAGACCTAGGGGAGAACCGGATTAAGGCACCCTTCCCCCACACACTTAAACTAAAATCCAAATTCACCATCTTGGCCCTCAAGGCCCCTGCTATCTTAGAACTAATACTTCCCACCTTTGACCCACCGGCTCAGCCACAGTGGCCTTCTTCAATAGATCATTCCAACCTCAGGGCCTTTACACTTGCTGTTCTCTTTAGGCTTCTGTCTCCCCACCGATGCCTTATCATCTCTGCCAATGCCACCTCCTGGACAGGTCTCCCTGACCATCCTGGTAAGGCATCCATGTGACATCATTAACCACAATTATGAACCCTCACAGCAGTCATTTCTGCTTTTTGAAAGTGTCTCACTACACTGTCCAGGCTGGCCTTGACCCTTGATCCTCTCATTGCAGCCCCCAAGAAGCTGGGATTATAGGTGCAGGCCACCATCTCTGGTCCCCAGCCTAATTTAAGATCTGTTTCTCCTACCCATGCTCTTCCACCAAAACGTAGGCCCACTAAGGCACTGCCTGTCTGATCACTGCCTCAGTGCTGATGTCAGTGCCTGCCTGGCACACAGCAGATGCTCAAAAAAAGATGCACTAAAAAAGTGGCTGCCACCAGGCATTCATCCTCTACATGGGACCAAAACAGGCCAATTTGATTTGGAGTTTGTTTGTTTTGATAGTGCCTTGCAGTCTAGGCTGACCTTGAGCTCACAGTGATCCTCCTGCCTCGGCCTTGTGAATGCTGGGATATAGTTATGCACCACCACACCTGGCTGCACCCTGCCGTATCCTCAGCAATGGGGAGACAGATGAATATAAACTCATGGAGGGAACATCTGGCGGGCAGCAGTCATTGCCATGAGCTGGAGAAGGGGACAATCTCCCAGCCCTTTGAAGCAGCGGTGCTTACTGCCCCCATCTGATCTTATCACCCCTTCAGTGTGAGCCTCAGTTTCCTCCCCTGTCAGTTCCCCTGTGCATTATCATTAGCAACGCCCAGACCGCTAGTGTTCAGGGGGCAAAAACCGGGTTCAGCCAGGCAGGGTGGCACACACCTGTAACCCCAGCTGAGGGAGGAGAATCACAAGTTCAAGCCCAGCTAGGCAATTTGGCAAGACCCCGTTTCAAACCCAAAATCACTACAGGGCCAGCCAAATAGCTCAGTGGATTAAAGCACCTGCTAGCAGACACGCGGGGGGGGGGGGGCATAGTGGGATGAGGGGGTTTGATCCCTGGGCCTCCTGTTCTGTCCCCAAGGCCCACTGAGAAGGCAACTGAGACTGGGTGTAGTGGCACATGCCTGCAATCCCAGCACTTGGGAGGCTTTAAACAGGAGAATCAGTATGAGTTTGATCTAGTAGTGAGACCCTTCCCTAAAATACAGGGAAAAAATTTTTTTTCAGAACTACCACAAAAGCAAACCAAACATGGTCCAGCTGGGTATGCACCTATAATGCAATAGCTCAGGAGGCTGAGGCTGAGGACTGCATATTATGGGCTACATAGCAAGACCACCTCAACACAACAAAACCAAATCAAATGCCAGGCACAGGTCCACCCAGGCCCTGGCTCCTTGAGCTGCCTGTGGCGCCAACTCGGGTTCACCCCTACCTCCAACATGCTGGGCCGACACCTGGGGAGATGCAAAGTGCAAGGACCTGCTGCCAGATACACTGACCCTTCTGGAGGGCATCCCACTTGCTACCATGGGATCCTACCAGCTCAGTGAACCTCTCTGTGCCTTGCTTTCTCCCCAGGTGATAGATCCTCTCACCCCTGTCTCAGGACCCCTCCTTAGCTTCCATTTCTGATAGCAAAGCCAGGACACCACAGAAGCCACTGATCTGAGCTCCTGATCTCAGCCCTGTGCCTTCTTGTTGTACCCTGGCACACAGTGAGCGACCCCAGGGCCTTGGCACCAGCTGCTGCCTCCACCTGGCAGTTTCAATCCCTAGACAGCTCCCACGTCTGCTTCCTCATCCTTAATGTTCAGGTTGGTGCACACTTGTAATCCTAATCCTAGCCCACGGAGGCCGAGGCAGGAAGATAGCCAGGAGTTTGAGGCCAGCCTGGGCTACATAGTGAGTTCAAGGCCAGCCTGAACTACAAGGGAAGACCCTATGTCTAAAACAAAAAACAAACAGAAAAAAAAAGTTCATCTAGTTCAGCATTCCCAGCCTGGATACACAAAACGCAAGTACACACACGTGTACACACACACACACACACAACACACACACACACACGCTCCCTTCCCCCTCCTCTTTTTCCATTGCACTTTCCACTACATAGAATCACTACTCACATACATTTTACGGATTCACTCAGCGTCTGTCTGGTCCCACTCACCAGGGCCTAAACACTGCCTGCCACAGCAGATGCCCAAGTATTTGTTGACCTCTCAGCATGACTCAGGCTGAGGTGGGGACAATCCAGCCTTCTCGGGAACCCCCAGCCCCTGCTGGCCCACACAGTCAGGAGTCTGGCAGCTCAGAGGAAAGGAAGGAGTGGGACAGGAAAGGGAAGTTGACACTTCAAGAGATGCCCTGGCAGAGGCAGCTGCCGTGGCCCTGGAGCAGGGAGGGTCTTAAGAGCTTCTAGGCTTCCTTTTGAGGAGGAGGAGGAAGGGTCTCCACATGTAGTTCAGGCTGGCCTTGAATTCACTATGGAGTCCAAGCCGGCCTGGAACTCACAGTGATCCTCCTGCCTCAGCCTCTCCAGTGCTGAGATTACAGGTGTGCACCACCACTCCCGGCTGGCACCAGGCTTCTAGTGGCAGAGCTGGGAGAAGCTGGGACCTGTGCCTTATGCCAGGACTTAGGACCCATCTCAGCTTCCTGTGCAGGCAGCAGGTGAGGCCTGTTTCACAGGGTAGATCCGCATGCTGCTGAACCCGTGGGCTCACTGAGGGTCCTGGCCTCAGTTCCCTACTTGGGTGTCTGCCCACCCACCTAGCTCTTCCTAGGGGCTTCTGAGCCCCGCCCCCACCCTGCCTAGACAAATCACATAGAGCCTTGCCTGATTTTCCAGTTCATATGCTACCAGAAGGGCCACCTTCCCACACCTGGGGAGGTCCCAGCACCCAGCTCTGCTGGCCCCAGCTTCCTCTCCTGGCGACGGCAGGATTTTTCCACGCTGTGAATCTGTGAGCCTGACCTGCCACCTCATAGACCAAAACCTTCCATGCTCCTGCCATCCAGAGAACCAGGCACCCCAGGTCCCTACCCCACCACCCCGCCCCCTTCTGCATTCCAGCGGGGAGGAATTTCTTTCACTTCCTCCTGCCCGCCCGCACTTTCCTGTAGCTGGGCCTGGCCCCAGCCCCATGACATAATGCTTTTCTCCTTACCCTCTTCCCCAGGATGAGCGGTTGCCTCCCGTTCATCCTGCCCTGGGTGCTGACATCTCCTCCAGGAAGCCCTCCCTGTCCTCCGTCTGGAGTGAGCTGTGTAACCCCTTGGTGCAAGGCAGGGGTGAGGAGCTCTAGGTCTGCTGTGTGCTGTGCACGGTGGGCTGGCACCGCCCAGCTGCTAGTGTCTGAACCAAGATCAAACCCAAGCTGATGAGAAAAACCTCCTGGCCCTGTGTCCACTTCTCCTGCCTCTCCATCTGGCTCCTGGGAGGTGAAGATGTCCCAGAGACCAAGAGCATGGGAAAGAGCAGAAGGGACCCTATGCCCTGCCCAGAGGGGAAAGGAAAAACCCCTGCTGCGGAGGCCAGCTTGAGTGTGAGTCCCATGCCTGTGTGCTCCAGGCTTTGAGAACCAGGGCCATCTCTCTGGGTCTCCATTTTCCATCCACAGGACCAGAACATCCCCAACTCGCAGGCTTTGGGTGGAAGGAGTGGATGGACTGTGAGGGGCGGTACACATCTGGGATGTTGTGAAACTGCTGCTCTGACTCCCAGCCAGCACAGGGCCCTTGCCCTGATTCACCATCGCACGCTGCCCAAGCTGGGCCCTGACAACCATCTGGCTCCACCTCCTTCCCTAACTGGGGGTGGGCTGGGTAGAGACCCAGAGAGGGGTATAACCTGCCTGCAGTCACACAGCCGGCAAAGAACTGCCTCCCTGCAAATGGAGAAGATTGTGCATAACTGTGGAATCCCGGACTGACTCCTGATCTCTCAGTCTTCTGCCTGCACCTCTTGGCAGCTCTGTGAAGTCAAAGCCAGAGAGGGCAACAGAGTGGTCCAGCATCACACAGTACTCAGGACAAGGGCACAGAGAACCATGTGCACCCTCCCCCTGGGCCCAGGTCTCCTCCCTTGTAAAGCAAGATGATCATCCCAATATCAGTGTGTAAAATCTAAGCGGCTCAGGTAAGATCAGGAGTTGCACATGGGGGCTTGTCGTCCTCTGTCACCCCTCTCTCTGCTCTCAGTACGAATGTCACAGCACTTACTCCCAGTGAGCAGCCCAGCCCCAGTCTTTCTCAACATCAGAGCTGTTTTCCATTGATTTGGATACAACTTCAGAATCCTTCGGGACACAGCCTTCCAGGGTGGCCCTGAGATGAACTGGCCACCACCCCCTCTTCAAATGATATTGGAAGCCTGCACTGGGCCTAATGCCTTGAGGGCCAAGGAGGGCTGTGTGTGTGTGTGTGTGTGTGTGTGTGCGCGCGCGCGTGCGCGCGCACGCGCTGTTTTGGTGTTTTGAGATGGGATCTCACTGTGTAATCCAGGATGGCCTCTAACTTCCAGTCTGCCTCTTGTCTCTCAAATGCTGGGATCACGGTGTGCACCCCCATGCCCAGCCCAAGGAAGGCTCGAACCCGCTCTTCCTCCTCTCCATGCCCTGGCCTGGCCTCAGTCCCTCAGCCTCCTCTCCGTGTCAGCTGAGGCACCCACGTGTGCCCAGGAATGTCCTCACTCAGCAGTCATGCAGAGAACAAGTCACAAGGAGGGGGGCCTTCCTGTCACCCCAGGCTTTCAGCCTCCAGCCCCGACAGGGTGCAAGGCAAGGTGCCAGGTCCCCGATGGCCACCAGCCTGGCTGACCCTGGGACCTCTCCCCTCTTGACCTCTTCTCCTGTCCCCAAAGCCACCAGAGCTGAATGGCAGGGTTGCTGCCGGCGGCACAGGCACCACAATTGCTCTAGGAGGCTGGTGGCTGCCCACGGGTGGCTCCCAGTCCTGTGGCCTCCCCTCACTGGTCCCCCGCTGGCTGGAGCCCCTTTCTGCCTATTGAGCCAGGCTGCTTGCTCTGTGAGGACAGAGGGAAAATATGTGTTTTCTTGAGTCTTGGCAGCTGGTGTTGTGGAGCCTCCTCCCTGCTGAAAGGGAGCAAGGCGGGAAGAACCAGCACCAGCAGCCTGCGGTTCACCCCAGTTCTGCCACCCACTCATACTTGCTGTGTGATTTCAGGTATGTCACTCTCCCTCTCTGAGCCTCCATTTCCCACCATGCCAAGCCTCCCCTGAGCTTAGGGCACCTTCCAGCAAAGATGGAAGGTTTAGAGTGGGAGATTCTGGCCCACAGTGTGGAGACTACCAGCCAAGGGAAGGAGGCCCTGGAGCAAGGGAAAGAAAATCAGGGAAGGCTTCCTGGAAGTGGCCTGAGAAGACAACCACAGGGACTGTCATCCCTCCGCCAGGGCTGCCCCCTCTTCCAGATGGATCAGAGCCACAGCACCTCCTCACTGCCCTCTGGTTTCACCTCCTCCATTCCAGAGCTGTCAGAGGGCTGGGGACTGGCTGAACTGATAGAGCCACTGCCGTTTCTGAGCCTCCCCTTGCAGCCCACAGGGGTGCTGTGCCCTCGAGGCCTCCACCTTAGCCTCTGCACTCCACCAGCCCGGCTCACTGGCCACCTGCTCATGGAAGCCTTCCTTGATTGCCCTAAGTGAGGACCCTATTCTGTACTTTTAAACCAGTGACTTCCCCGCACGTCGCCCAGCTGTGCTCTGCATTACTTTGGTGGTTCTTTCTTCCAATCTCTTTTTGGGATATATGCTTTTTTTTTTTTTTGGTTCCGGCAATCCAACTCAGGACCTCATGCTTGGCAGGCAAGCACTGTGTCACTAAGCTACATCTCTGGCTCCATGAAGCTTTTTGTAATGCTACTAACTTTCCATAGGTGACAAAGCCAAGCAGCCACTCCTCTCCTCCTCGGGCCTGCCTGGCTGCTGACTACAACCCCCTTACTCAAGCCCCATGTACTCTTGAACACCCAGCCCTTGGCTGGGAAACGCACAGGGAGGTTGGGTGGGGATGGGGGGGGTGGTGGTGGTGGCTGCTGCCTCTGTCTCCCACAGTTCCCTGCAAACAGGGTGCGTGTCTTAGCTGCCAGAGAGCCCTCAGTTCCACTGCCCCCCTGCCGTGCAGGTTTCCTAGTAGTACTGCTTGGATCACCAGGGCACAAAGGGACAAAGCTAATAGACCCTTAGTTCCTCACCTTAGAAAGCTCCACTCCCACCCACCCCACCCCATGATTCCAAGAGGACCATGGAGAACACAGATTTGGACCAAATGATCTCTCCAGCCCATCCTTCTGGCTGCTGGACCGAACAAGTAGGTGCTTTTGCAGGGCTCCATGAACTCTCCAGGCAGGAAGACCATCCACCCTTACACCTGTTGGCCCTGCCAGGCCCAGGGCAGCTTAACTGATTCCAGGGTTCCATAGCCAGTGGATGGGTCCAGTCTAACCAGTCCCTCCCTCGGGCTGAAACTCCTAGGAAGGCAGTCACTAGTTCCACCTCATCTCCTCTGTGACCAAAAAGGTACAGCCTGGCGACCCAAACTAGCCACAGTAGCCATCAAGCAGGAACCCCGAATTTGCTGAGGCTTTTCTGGCCCTTCCGGTTTCTCCTGAGCCTGAGAGGCTGGACAGAGCCCCAAGGGTCTGTCCTCCCCAGGGAGTTTGAAAACAAGGACCTGGGCTCCCACTCACTTTGTTACCAGATCCAAGGGGGACAGGTGAATGGTGGCTTTGGCTTACCTCACCCCCAGATCAGCCGGGTGGGAACACTGGTACCTCCGCCCCACCCTGTTGCTGCAGGCGCCAGCTCTGGGCGGGGGACCACTGGCGTCACATGGTTAGGGCCCTGGGAAACTCCAGGGACAGCAGAAACTAGGCAGTCCAGGCTGGTGGCAAAGGGGCGGTTTAGGCGAGAATTTCCAGTCTCCGTGTGACCGGGGCTGGGTGGCTTCCCTAGCTCAGGTCCTCGTTCCGCATTTACTGCTGCGGTCACCCTAGGACACGCCCTCCGAGAGGAACACACAGGCTCCAAGAAAAGCGCGCGACACACGCACACTCAATGCACACACGCGCAAACACCCCAGCGCGCGCACACGCCTGGGCAGAGCTCCCAGGACGCGGGCCAGGACACTCGCGCACGTCCGCCGCCCGCGGACGTAAACAAACCGCGCACGCACGGCCGCGGGCAGCGGTCCCAGGCTGTTCTCGCCGAGTCACGTCTGTGCACCCCCCCGCCGCGGGGCTATAGCTGCGCTCGCTTCCTCCGGGTCTGCGTTCCGCCCCACCCGGCTGGTTTCGACCCCCATCCCGGTCCCCCAACCCTGACGCTCGCCATCCCCGTGAAAGATGCGCCCGGAAGCCGCTAGCGCCAACCTGGGCACAACAACCTTCTTCCCAGGGTCGGGCGCTCGGTCTCCGTCCCCTACCAGCGTCTCTTACCTCCTTCTCGGTCGGCGAGGCCTGGCACCCCTCGCACGAGCTTGTCTCGGGGCGGTCCCCGCGGCTGTCCCAGCCAGTGCCTGGGCTGTCTCCTCTCCGGTCCGAAGCGCCGATCCCTTGGATCCGAGCTCCCGGGAGCGCCTCGCCAAAGTTTTGTTGTGAAGCGGGTGGCGCAGGGGGCTGGAGCCGCGCGCAGTTGTAAAGCGAGCTTCCCGGAATTACTCACGCACAGGATTCCTTTCATTCATAAAAACCCAGTCATGCGCTGACGTCATCGCCAGGCTGCCCCGCCCCCTGCCCCGCCCCCGGGCCCGGGGCTGCCGCCGACTCCCGGTTGCGAGGGTTCTCAGCTCAGGTTCCTGCGCGCGCTGGCTGCGTCACGTGACACTCGCAAGCGCCGCGTGGGTGGAGGTGGTCTCGCCTTCCTTTCACCGTCGGCGGTCGCGGGCGTCTTCTTTCGACCTACATCCTCTGCCTGAATGATCTCATCCAGCTCCGTGTTTTTCAGTGCCATCCCTGTGCCTGGGAGCCCAGTTTAGTGTTTCAGGGGAAACTGCGCCGCCCCGCCTGCACGCGGGCGTCAGACGGAGACTGCGAGCACAGCGTGGCCCCGCGCCCCAGGCACGCCGGCTCGGTGGGACGTGCCTTCCTCCCTCCCACCAGTTAGCTGCTCCCATAGTTTCCTGCGTGTGACCACAGCTCGCCACCCCGCATCGGTACTGCAGGCTGGTTCGGGCCCCATAGACTTACCTGGACAATGGCAGCGGCCAAGAAGAGGCTTTGTCATGCACCAGCCAAAATTCTTCTCAAGGGCCGGGGAGATAGCTCAGAATAAGTGCTCGCCTAGTGCTCGCCTGGCAAGCTCAAGGGCCTGAGTTCAATCCCCGGTTCTGCCAAAAAAAAAAAAAAAAAAAATCTCAGATCAGGGGCCAGGGAGATAGCTCAGCACCATAAGGGCCTGCTTGGCAAGCTCAAGGTCCTGCGTTGGATCCCTGACACTACAAAACAAAAAACAAAGATCAGATTGTTAAATCAGGTCTGTATGCCTGTTAATCCCATTGTGGGTTAGCTCAGTTGTTTAAGTGCCTGCCTGGACAACCCCAGTCAGGCGCAGGGGACCATGGTTTGAACCCAGCTCCAAATGCCTTATCAGACCAACCCTGAAGGCAGCCTGAACCAGCCCCCTCCCCTAAAAGAAATCCAACCACTGGGAAGGCTGAGGGAGGAGAATTCCTTGAGTCCAGGAGTTTGAGAGATGCTTGAGTTATATAGTAAGATTGTTTCTCAAACAAATAAACCAGACTGGCACCCTTGGTGTTTTCCTCTTGTTCCAGGGCCTGGTATATAGCCTATAAAGTATACTGCTCCACTTGGCCTACAGGGTTCTGGCCATCTGGCCTCTATTCAGTCTGCCACTTGCCGCTGGCACTGTCACCTAGCCTTCTACTCCAGAGCCACACTGTCATTTCTGCCTTCACCTATGCCACGTTCATCCCTGTTGTGGTCCTAGCACGTGCCTTCTCCAGGTCAACTTGATGTATGTTAGCACCCAAGGTGGGACTTTCCTTACCACTGCGGCCAGAGGTGTCCACTGTGGCAGTCTTGTCCTCAGGCTGTCTTCATATCTGCAGGGTGCTGCAGTATGTATTCATATCTTCCTCAAGGGGAACAGAAGTTTGATGGGAGCAGGACTGGGTCTTGTTCACTAATGCATGTGCACCGCGGGGATGGTGCTTGGCACACAGTAGGACCACAGTAAATATGGGCTGCGGGAAAAAATTTTGTGGATGTTCAAAGAGGTAAAGCAACTTCCCAGATTCAGTAAGAATCCAGGTCTGACTGGCTCTGGCCCAGATCTGGGAGGTACTCTAGCCAGGGGAAGCTGAAGGCTCCACCCCAAGGAGGTGGCTTTGGAGGCTACATGGGGAAGGGAGGCAGCTTGTTCCCCATCTCTTGGTTCCTTGCTTTCCTAGACAACCTGGTGCTGATTGCTTTTGAGAAGTTGGTGTCCCAGCAGCACTCACTCTGAGTGGATGTGGGACCTCAGAATGCTGTCCTCCATGGAGTGTAATTCCATTCCAGAACTTTCTCTGGCCTGCCTGCTTCTGGGCCTTGATCCCTGAGACCTCTGCCTCTTTCTTACCTGCCAAAGGCTCTTCCTTTACTGTGCCACTGTGTACCGGAGGGACCCATGTTGAGCCTGCTTTCTGCCGTCCTTAAAATCACTCCCACACCACTGCTCCCCACCTCTACTCACACAGCTGTGAGGGCGCACAGGTTGTGTCTCCAGTACAAAAGTTCCTACATCTAGAAGCTATGCACAGTGCCTCAGACCCTACTTAGCGGTGAATGCTTCCCACAGAAATGGCTCCCTTTCTGGTCAAGGGTATCATAAAATGTATTTTAAAATGGGAGGTGGTATATATAGTGGTGCTTGCTTATAAACCTAGCACTGGGAGGCTGAGGCAGGAAGATTTCTCAAGTTCAAGCCCAGCTTGGGCAACTCAGTGATTTAGGGAGATCCTGTCTCAAAATAAAATGGACTAAGGATATAGCTCAGCATGAAGGCTCTGGGTTCAAGCCCCAGGATTAGGAAAACAGGATTCCCTGGTAGGGGATGGCGGTGCAGCTCAGTTGTCAAGCACTCGCCTAGCGCAGCTGAACCCTGAGTTCCCTCTCCAGCAGGCTGAGGACAGATATTTCCTGGTTGGATGTTTCCTAAGGAGTGTGACTTCCTGTTACCCAGAGTCGCCTGCCTTAGCGCCCCTTGTAGGGCAGCTATCCAAAGCGAGCCACATCCTACATTTCTGTGGGTCCCCTGCTGGGTGGGACCAAAGCCAAAGGGACACCGCTGGGCACCACCGGGCAGGCACTTGTCTTGCCCAGAGTGCTCCCACCCGTGGCAAGGCCCACGCCAGCTTCTTACTGCTGGTTATGGATAATAATTAACAGCACAGTAATGAGCATGACACACACTGGGCCAAGTGCCCACAGCATGGTGTATTTTGCCGGCGTTTTCCTCACTGCCAAAGTAGCCAGCCACCAAAGATCTGTATATTGATTCCATTTCAGTGTCTTTAAACTTCAGCTTTCCCTCCGTGACACTGGGAATGGAGCCCAGGGCCTTGTACGTGCTACACAAGTGCTCCGCCACAGAGCTACATCCTCAGCCCTTTTTAAATTTTATTTTGAGATGGATCATTTATTTAAAAATTATTCAATTTTTAAATTTTATCTTCCTAAATTGCTCAGGGTGGCTTTAAGATCAAGCTCCTCCTGCCTCAGCATCCCAAGAAGCTGGGATTCCACGCATGCGCCGCTGTGGCTGGCTAGGCTATTTCATCCTATATGTATATCACTATGATAAAGTTACACTGTAAGTGAGTCACAGTAAAAAAATGAACACCAATGATAAAGTGGAACAGTGGACTCCGGTGGGAGCTACGTAGAGTTATGTGTGGCACGCACCTATAATCCCAGCACTCCAGAGGTTCAGGCACGAGACTCACAAGTTTGAACCCAGCCTGGGCAACTTAATGCCTTAGCAAGACCTTGAGCCAAAATAAAATAGAAGGAAGGACTGGGGTTGTAGCTCAGTTCACCCAGGCCCTGGCTCCAATCCCCAGCCATACCACAGAAGTAAGCACGGAAAGGCGTGGTCCAGGCACCTCTCATCTGAAATGTTTAGGACCAGAGCGCTGTGCAGTACTGATTTTTCCACTTTTGGAATCTTTGCGTAGACATAATGAGGATCCAAGTGAGGACACCTGGGCTGCGATTTGCACCCGCCTCCCGCCCACAGCCTGCTCTGAGCCGGCACTGTCACGGTGGTCAGGTGTGGGTTCTCCTCTGGTAACAACACGAGGGGACTTGAAGAGGGTTTCCAAACTGAGAGCATCTGGTTTGTGAGCTTCAGGTCAGGGAGCTCTGCCGGGGGTGGGGGTGGGGAGGTGCTTGGGTTGGGGTTGGGTTGGGTTGGACTGGAAGGCTTCTGGGCCAGCTCTGGTCCCTTCTGCGCCTGCGCAGGGTCCTGGGGAACCCGGGCCCAGGGCAGCCCTGTTGCTTACTACTGTAGCCACCGAAGCTGCTCTGGGCTCCTGAGGTGGCTGTTGTCATCACTACTGCCACTGCCACAACAGGGCTGCTAGGGACACCTTGTTCAGCACAGATCATCTCCCCCCTGCTCCACCTTTGTCCCTGACCTCCGCTCACCGCCCCTCCACTTCCCAACCTCTTCCCACCTGGATCCTCTGGCCCACAGCTCAGCCTCCATCCTCTTGCTTAGCGCTGAAATTTTCCAAGTGGCTGTCATCTCTGATGAGCGCCCCCAGCTGCTTGTGGTCCCTTTTAGCCACCACCCCTGCTCTTTCTTCCTTTTTGTGGCCAAATGCGAGTCACATCTGCGCCTCCTTCCTTCCCTGTCACAGTGGGCCCCCACAGCTGACTCTTGCTGGGTCCCTGGAAACGTCACTGTAGCCAGATCCAGGGACCAATTTCAGTCCCCACTCTTGTCCTCTGACAGCTGTACCCCATCTGCAACCTCAACCGGCCCCCCTTCCTGTTCAGTTCATGCCTTTCCATCTTTATTTATTTTGAGACAGGGCCTTGCTATGTGGTCCAGGCTGCTCTTGAAC